TCGATGCCTTGCTTCGAGGTGCGCCGGCTGCGCAGCGATCGCGGCGGCGAGTTCGCTGGCGAGGAGACCGACGCTTGGGCGAGCGCTGCTGACGCCCACCGCGCCCGCGCGGAGGGCTACGGCCCGATTGCCAATGGTGTCGCTGATAACGCTTTCGGCGGCATCAAGCTTGGCGCGCGCGCGCCGCTGCTGCGTGGCTGTGCTTGAGGCGGCGAGCGCCCAACGCAGGCGCCAGCCCTGTCTTCCCAGGCCGGCGGTGCCGATTGGCCCCAGAGTGTCCGCGGCCGCGCGGCCCGGGCCAGGCGGCGACTTCGCGCCGAGAGCCCCCCCCCCCGGCTGCTTTCGGCCGGGCAGAACGCGCCCAAGGCCGTGCGCATCTACGGGATTGGTCGGCTGGAGACGACTGGGAACATCAAGCTGCAAGCCCGCCACCTCGAACGTTCGTTTGGGCGATCCTTGAGCTGGCGCAGGAGGAGGAGCCGACCGCCCCGAAGTCCGAGGGGGAGAAGGCGGCGTGGGGCGCGCGTGCCCACCAGCGCCAGCGGTACCGTGTTCGGCTGCCGAGCTTGCCGTGGCGCTCACAGAGCACGTGCCCGAGTGGGGCGGGTGTGCGACGGCCTTAGTTCCCCTCCATCCGCCGCGGGTGCTGCCTGCGCCCTTTGTGGATGCGATTGTCCAGCCAGTCGCCGTGGAGCTGACTTCGCGGCCGACGTCGTCGCTATTCGCCTTCCAGGACGTGGGTCTGCAGCTGCTGGAGGGGATTCGGCAGCGTGGGCGCCGGGCTGTCCTGGCCGTGGACGAGGCGTCGTCAGCCGGCCAGGGGCGCTTCCAGTGGATCGACGCCGTTCAGTCCGAGCGTCTTTCGCTGCAGCAGAACAGGGCCTACCATCCAGCGCCCCACCAGGAGCGGCAGGGCCTCGAGCCTGGCGCCCTGGAGTTCACCCAGTCGAGACTTCTGGCAATCCTTGAGGCCCCGGAGAAGGGCAAGCGGAGGAAGACGGCCGGGGTCGCGTGCTGCGGCGACTACCAGTCCGAGGCGGAGGATTCGGGGCAGTGCTTGGACGCTCGGCAGGTGGGCGCCGCGTCGCTCAGGATGTTGTTGCGGTGGGCTGCTGGGCGCAAGCGCCCCCCCCCGCGCTATCGACATGAAAGCGGCGTTCCTCAGCGCAGCGCTGTCTCGTAGATCCGGGGGGGCCGTGGGTCTCGGGCTGGGCGCCTTATGGTCTCCGTGTGAGCCCGCGCCAGCGGCGGCGCGAAAGGGGCAGCGCACTGCGCTGGAAAATTCATGGGCCGTAAACGGTGCTGCTAGGCGCCTTCTTCAGTCTCGCCTTGACCCGGCTCTCGAGTGCGTCATCGACCCAGAGACGAACGCCAACGGATGCGCAATTGAGAGCATCGCCATCGCGGACCCCCGCGCCAAGACCCCTGGTTTTATTGGCACGTACGTGGACGACGTCCTGAGAGCCTGTGGCGGAGCAAAGCTCGAGGCGTTTTCCTCCGCGGTCCGGCTGTTCTGGAAGGCCGCGGGCGCGACCTATTTGAAGCTATTCAGCGGCGAGGAGCTGGAGATCTTCGGCATGCAAGTGACGGCCGCCTTTTCTGGGCATTGTCTCCACCAGCGCGCTTGCGTTCAGGATCTCCTGAGACAGTGGGGCGTGGAGAACTGCAGGTGCCCAGACGCGCCCAGCGACAATGCGGAGACAGAGCGCGAAGAGCACGTGAGGCGCAGCTGACTTCGATTACCGGCCAATGGACGGTAGCAGTTCCGCGGTTCCTTCGGCCGGCAGGTCGAGGCCCGACGCCTGCCCAGAGGCAGCCGCCCCTGACCCGGGCGACGGTGGTCAAGGCGCAGCCGCTCGCCGCGGCAGCCTCCAGATGCTGACGTCTCGCAGTCGCTCAGAGATTGTTTACGCGGTGAGTCGCGTCGCTTCCGTGGCCGCAGCGGCTTCGGAGCTCGCGCTCCAGATGGGCATGCGGCTGCTGAGGTACACGCGCTAGACGGTCGACCGCGGCATCGCATGCACGCCGTTCGGCGCCAAGGTGCAGGAGGGCGACCTGAATGCTGACAGCGGTGCTTCCTCGGGCCCAGACGGCAGCGACATGAGCCACCTGGGCGCGATCATCATCTAGGCTGGCTGCCCGGTGACGTGGCGCAGCCGCCGGGCCGCTCTGAAAGCGACGTCGTGCTGTGAGTGCGAGCTGCAAGCGGCCTGCTCCTGGGCTCCAGGGTGCGCTCCATCCTCGAGTCCGCGGGCATGTGCGCGGCGCGCAAATTAGCGATCGGCAGCGCTGCTGCGATTGCGAGTCTGGGCGGCCGCCCTACCCGGAGGACGCGGCACTTGGCCATGAGAGCCAATTCCTTGCGTGACCATGTGCGCCCGGGTCTCGTGGTCGTGCGCTACGTCCACATTGGCGAACAGCTACCAGACTGCTTGACAAAGCACGCGGTGGCAGACAGGCACCAGCGGCTGACGCGCTGAGGAGGAGTATGTTTGCCAGAGACCGACCGCCGAAGACCGTGTGCTTGCACAAGATGTACAAACCAGTGCGAGGTAAAAGTCAGCTGGCGCGAGAAGAGAGTCCACAGCAGCGGGAGCCACGAGCATGCTGGTGCGAAGGCAGCCAGGCATGAGCACCCTTGTTTCTTCCAATTCGTCCCGCCTCCGCCCGTCGCCCACATGCTTAATGCAGGCAGGCATCGACGCGAGCTTCGGGGAACCCCAGCCAGCTGAGACATGACGTATCCCACAAAGTGGAGTAATACATCCAGAGCGTATGTGGTGCACGTTTTGCAGTGTGGCACGCTGTAGCGGTGAATGGCTGTCTACGGGCCCCAAGTGATGCGCAGAACGTCGCATCGATGGCGGACGGGCCAGCGCGCCGAAAAATAACAGCAGTCAGCAGGTTCTGCCTGGACTCAGGGAGCCGTGGGCTTTTAGGCACAAGGATCGGCTTGATCGTCCAGCCGCAGGAAGAAACTCCAGCTCGAGCTTCTGATGGAACTGCCGGCTTGCCAGCCAGGCTCGGCACTCGCATCCCGGAGAGGCCCCCCTCCCGGAAAGGGCGCCGTCCCAGAGGGGGCCCCCTCCTGGAGGGTTCCCCCCCTCCTCTGACCTCCCACAGGGGTTCCCCTCCCGGAGGAGCCCTCCTCCCGGAAGGCCCCCCCCCCTCCCCCCCCCTTCGGGCCCTGCCGATGATTTCGGTTCCGATCTGGCCTGACGCGATCCGGTTTCCGACTTGATCCGACTCGGCCCTGCCAGTTTTTGTTGATTCGATGTGCCAGCCAATTTCTGCCGATTTCAGCCGATTCGATGTTCGAGTCGATCCGATTCGAGTTATGGTTTCGATGGTGGAGCCGCTTGAAATACCCCATCAAGAATCCCCAATCGTGCCAAAACATGTTTTTGGGACTTCAGCACCGCGAATCAAGGTGACTGTTGCTTTCTGACAATCGTAAGTCTTGCCATAATGCCATTCTTGGTATTTCGACCAGGCGAATCCGTGTAACGTTTGCATGCTTTCAGAACGCTTGTGCGCTGTGCTACTGCGAGACCAGTATTTGAGCAGTTGCCGCACTTATCTGGGAAATGTTTGCGCACGCTTTGAAATCGAATCTGCGTAGCGCTAAGGTGAGAACATTTTTAAGCGACCCGCAAATACTTGCACATGTTTGAAACGAATGTTCGCGGCGCCAAGGCGAGAGCCACATGTTGAGAACGGCCAGCTCCTCCTCCTCCTCCTCCTCCTCCTCCTCCACATGTTTGAAACGAATGTTCGCAGCGCCGAGGCGAGAGCCACATGTTGAGAACGGCCCGCTCTCCGTCCGCGAAGCTGTTGCACCTCTCAAGCTTCGGAGCCACACCTGCCGAGGAGGTTCCCGTCGAGACGCCCAGCCCGCCCTGCCGACGCGTTTCGGGGGTGCAGCAAAGGGGGAGTTAGTTCTATAGAAGAGGGGATGGAGGGAATGGGCAAGGACGAGGCCGACCATGGAAAAGGAAGAGGAGGAGGTGGAGGAGGAGTGGGTGGAGGAGAAGGAAAAGGAGGAGGAGGAGGAGGAGGAGGAGGAGGAGGAGGAGGAGGAGTAGGAGGAGGATAATGATGATGAGGAGGAGGACCAGTGTAAACCCAAGAGTCATCAACGATGTTCGAATAAACCTTCCGTCCAAGCTCCCTCTTCATAGGCCCTTTTATAACGGTCATTTCCACTGAGGGAACTGCATTCGAATACAACCGTTTGAAGACCCTGAAGCATGCCAGAGCATAGTTCTCGGGATTCAGCGCCGTAAATGAACCTGACAGTTGCGTCTTGACGATCCTCAATAGTGCCAGAACGCCATTTCTTGGACGCCAACACAGCGAACCAATGTAACTGTTGCGCCGTATAACCGTGACTTCTTCCAAAACACAATTTTGGTACGTCGATGGTGAGAGCCCGTGAGTGAAATTCTGGCAACGTTTGTAAGCGCATGTGCGCCGCGCTAAGGCGAGAGCCACATTTTGAAAACCACCCGCCCTCAATCGGTGAAGCTCTCGCAGCACATGTTTCAAACGAAAGTGCGCCGCGCTAAGGCGAGGGCCACATTTTGCAAACGACCCGCCTTCAATCTGTGAAACCCTTGCAATTTTTATGACGAGTGTGCGCCGCGCTAATGCGAGGGCCACATTTTGCAAACGACCCGCTCTCCATCTGTGAAACTGTTGCCACGTGTTAAGCTTCAGAGTCATGGATGGTGAGGAAATCTGAGGCGAAACGCCCGGCCCGCCATAAAATTGGCCTCGGGGTGCGACAGGGAGAAGTTATTGATCAGGAAATAGAATGGTGGGGGAGGAGGAGGAGGAGGAGGAGGAGGAGGAGGAGGAGGAGGAGGAGGAGCAGGAGGAGCAGGAGGAGCAGGAGGAGGAGGAGGAGGAGGAGGAGGCCCTGGTCCTCTCCCCCTCCCTCCTCCCTGCTCCTTCCCCGGGGGGTCCATGCCGCTGGCCACTGCCCCCCGATACGCCGACAGGGGCGCTGGGTGTGGGTGCCGTGTGTTCCGCGCGTGCCGCCTGGCCGTCGCGGCGGTGCTGCACGGCGTCGGATGCGGTCCTTTACTTCTTCTTTGGTTGTCAGGGGAACGGGAGGAAAGACACTGAGGAGGAGGAGGAGGAGGAGGAGGAGGAGGAGGAGGCCCGTGCCGTCTGCCGCGGCCCGCGTGGGTGGCCGCGGGGTCGCCGCGCTGGCCCTCGTCGTTTTCGTAGGTTCGTGCCGTGTGTCTTGTCGTGTCTTTTCGTGCCGTTGTGCCGGGTTGAGGCTGCTGGTTTACCCCAGGGTTGAGGCTGCTGATTTCACCCCTCCCCTGTCCTCCTCCCCCTTCCCCTCCCCCTCTTCTCCTGCGTTTTCGCCAAGGGGCTCGCTTGCGCTTGTAAAACAGTGTCGTTGTGTCGTGTCGTCGTCGCGTCGCGTCGTGTCGTGCTGTCGCCCTTGGCCTCGGTCGGTCTTCGCGTTCGCTTCCGCTCGGGTTCCGCTGCTTCCTCGAGGACCCGGAGGGGGAGGAGGGAGGAGGAAGAAGAGAGGAGGGAGTAGGAATGAGGGAGCAGGGAGGAGGAGGAGCCGGAGGAGGGAGCTGGAGGAGGAGGAGGAGCAGGAGGGAGCAGGAGGTTGGAGGATTAGGAGAGGAGGGAGGTGGAGGGAGGGACCCTCTCAGGATCTTTCAGGGACTCGGAGGATCTCTCGTGACCATCTGAGGATCTCTCAGGGGCCCTCGGACCCTGTAAAGTTTTTGTTCCCCCCCCTGGAATCCTTTAAATCTCACTCCAAGGCCGCTCTGGGCTTTTGGTATTGGTATTCAAAGGCAGCTATTGGTTCGAAATGATTGGAATCCGTTCTTGTTGGTTATGCTATGTTATGTTTCTGGGTCACGCTCCGTGGGGGTACCGAGCGGCGCGCCCTCCTGGTTTGCACCAAGATGCTCCATTTTCGAGCACCTGGGGCCCTCTGGGCCTCGTGAGTAGTGCTCTGGAGGCCGTGGGGGCCTCCTTGGAAATCCTGGGGGCACCTTGGGCCAAGGACTCTTGGGCAACACCCCCGACCGAGCGATAGTACCAGGGCGATAGACAGTCGAAGCCTGCGTCGAACGAAATGAGATTGGCGAGGCTGGGAAACAGGGCTCGGCACAGTCGGGGACAGGGCCGAAGGTTGGAAGTCGGCGACCGCCAGGACATCTCGCGGGGAGTGGGGACAATTGGGGACAGGGCGGAAGGCATGAAATCGGTGATAATCTCACCCAGGGCAATTACGTACGGTAGGTTCGCGTCGTGTCGACCGGCGGCGACCCCAGCGCGGGCGTTTAAGGTTGAACGCCGCCTGTGGCCCAGAATCGGCCCATCCTTGATTGATCCGGCCTTTTTGAAAGCGGGGTCAACACGACGCGAACCTGCCGTAGAGCCTCTGATTGTTTCCACCCACTTGCCTGGTGCTGTGCGGTGTCACCCCAGTCGAGCCCTCTTACGGCGCATGAGAGCGATGTAGTGTGTTACCATACCATACTACGTCGCATGCTTCGAATCATGATGTACAACTCGCTTAGGGACCTCACCACAAACAACACGAGAGCACATGGCATCTTGCACAGCAAATCATTGTAGTCAATATCAACTTGTCGAACACATCACGTTGTAATGGCTGCTATGCTCCCTACGTCACATTGCTTGAGCCCCTGTATGAGTTATGATTGATCGTAATCTGCTAGTCCCTCTTGCGCGGTATACGGACTTGGGCGTGCTGGGATAAACACTTGTGTGCAATGAGAGATGGTAGCTGTGCAGCGATGTGTGGCATGCTCAGATATGGATGAGTTCGGGGATTTGCCACAGACCGAGGCCAAACCAGTGTGCCCTGTGGCGGACTTGTTGGCACTGTAGCCCTCTTCTTTCTCCTCCTTCTCATCTTCCTCCTCCTCCTTATATTTTTTCTTGCTTAGCCCGAATGCTGGGTTCGCGCTCGATTCAGTTTGCTCGGGTCGTTTCATCTCCTGCGCACAGTGGTGGGCGGTTCGCCTCATAATGTGACGTTCCAGGAAGCGATCGCCAGTGGATTAGGGGCAGTGTACAGTCTAGGAGCCGAACTTTTCGGACGATGGAGTACACAATGTATTGACCTTGTCCCAGCTTTGGCAAGGGAACGGACCCCCGGGCATGCATTCACGCATTCGGCGAGGCATGGCGCTTGATTTAAAGCACCGGTTGTGGGGTGCCGTCGCGCGCGCGATTGTACGTACCTGCCCAGACTTGCCATGCACGCAACGTGAGCCAGAATTTTCATTGGCTGACTTGCTGGTGTTGTAATGCCCCCTCCCTCCGCCTTGCCCCTCCTCGTCTCCTCCACCTCCCCTCCCTAACTTTCAAAGCTTTTCCGGTTCCACTTCGGAGCCCTGATTTTCCGCCGCACCGTTCTTGTGCACTCAAGGTGTTCTTGTGTTGTCGCGAAGGAAACAGTCGGCATCGATCCAGAAGTAATCGTTTGAGCAAGGCGATTTCTTGGAGAGAGAAAGGGGAGGGAGGAAGGGAGGGAGAGCGGAGGAGAGAAGGATGAGGAGGAAGAAGAGGACTACGATCACGCACGGGAGGTGATGGAGAAGGAGAAAATGGTCGTTCCTTCCTCCTTGTCTTCTTGGGCCTGTCTTCTTCCAGGGGGACTTTGTCATGCTCCTCTTCGTCGTTATCATTGTCGCACCGTCGTTGTCTTCGCTGTCGTTGTCCCCTTTCTCGTTTTCTCATGCGTTCTTCCCTTGCCGCCTGAGCTCCATACCCTGTAGGTCTAATCAGCATATTTGTCAGCGAGTTGATCCGCAAAGTCCAGATCCTCGGCTTCGGGCAGGCAGCTGGGAGGAAGCTCAGTTACTTCTGGCTGGCGACGGGCGCTCTGCAGCTTGTGTTGCGACGCGTAGCACGTTTTCTCCCCTCGTGTGTATTTCTCCCGCCTTCTCTTTCCTTCGTCTCTTCTCCCTCTTCATCTAGCCTTCCTCGCTCCTTGCTCTCCTCTCTTAATGCATGTCTGCCTCCGCCATCCCTTCTCCCATTCGTTCTCTTTCATCTCGCCCTTGGTGCAAGTGGGCAAAGTGAGCCCTTCCTTGCCATTTGTAGGGGCTCCAGGCTCGCCGCTAGTTTTTGTCTCAGTCAAAAACGTTTCGTTATGATCAGGCGTGCTTGTCCAGCAGTTCAGGCTGAGAGTCACGATTGGCTTATCCATTTCTACGTGCTGGTGCTCGGACGCGCCGACTGCGGAACATGGCAATGCGCAGCCAGTTTTCGGGGTCCACATTGGATGTTGATGGCGCGCCCGGCCCTGTCATTCATCGCACATGACAGTTTCAAGCCTACCGTCATGTGTTTTAAGAACGTGAGAGTTTTGGCAATGGGCTTCTCGTCCGATTCCTCGTTGGTCAACTTACATGTGGTTCGGGGTTCGAAATTCATCGTTCCTGGCTTGATGATCTCCCCCTTACCAGCAGACCCAGAAACGACGGCCAGGTGAATTGTGGTTGAATCATCGAGCGCGTTCCACTACTCGCAAACTGCCTACTCGCAAACGCCCGAAAAAGCGCATGTCTGCTTCGATGTAAGTCATCGTAGATCCCCCGTGGCGGATCCAGGCCATTTGCAAGTAGCTACTTTGTGCGAGTTGGTGGAACAAGCTTGTCTACGGAAAGGAAGTTGGCAGCTCGAGTGCGCGTCGTCTCTCCACCAGCCTCCAGAACAGTTCACCAGGACGTCGCCACGCCTCGCTCCGCGCTTCCCTGGGCCCTTTCTGGTCCTCGTCGTCGTTCGTGCACCGGGTGGCGCGTGAAGGAGAGCCAGACTGCCATCCAGTTGGTAAGGTTCGGTCAAACATCCCACTCTCAACGAGCGCGTTCCACTACTCGTAAAGTGCCTACTCGCAGACGTCAGAAAACACACGTCTGCTCCGACGACATTTTTCGTAGATCCACCGCTTCGGATCCAGGCCATTTGCGAGCAGTGACTTTGCAAGTAGTGGTACGCGCTTGCCTGCACTCAGTGAAAGTTCACATACTGTAACTGTCCACATACGCGTCTGCTAATCCACCTACGCACGTACAAACACGTTATTACATAGGCACGCGTATGTGCATTCATACCTATCAGGCACATTTGTAAGGGATGAGAGAGGGAAGGAGGGGGGGAGGAGGAGGAGGAGGAGGAGAAGGCATAGGGGGTGCCTCCTACGTCTCCTTCCTTGCCTTTTCATTTTCAACTTACGAATCATACTCTCCTCTCTCCCCCTTGACTTCGTCTGGAAGTTGTCCAGCCTTCTCCGCGTACTCTTTATTTGCACACGGGATTTCAATACGTGAGTTTACAAAGTTTTCACAATCCGATCGTTGTGGTTGTTTTAAAATGGTGCTTCCGCTGAAGCTTGGGCTTGTTTTTTTTTCGGATCGGCGCGTTGCTCCCGTCGTTCAGAATGGCGCTCTCGACCTAGCAAGGGCCATTTTGCTTGGTCCGAGTTCTTTCTCATCGTTCTCGCCTCCCTCATTCCCTGTCTCCGCCTTCCCCTGGTCCTCCTGCTCCTCCTGGTCCTTCCACTCCAGCTTCTGCTGATGCTGTTCGTCCTCGTCCTCCTTCCTCCTCCTCCTTTTCCTCCTGCTCATCCTCCTGCTCATCTGCCACCTGCTTTTCCAATGTACGCAGCTCCCTTTTTTTCAGATTGCGCAGGAGACGAGGGCTTTCTCTGTGGAGTTCCAGGTCCGCCACGGCACGACTCCGCGGACCGAGAAAGCAGAAACGACATGTCAGATTGGCGCGAGGGCACTTAGCTTGAGGCCTCCTGTTGCAGCTGCTCCTCACCACCTATCAGACCACCCCAACCCAACCCGAAGGCCTCAATTTGCCCTCCATTTCCAGTGGGGAGGGGTCGGGGAACGTCGAAAAAAACACATGGAACCCGTACCCCCCCCCAACCCGAAATTCGGGTCAAATTCGGGTCTTCGGGTTGGGTTGGGGTGGTCTGGTAGGTAGTCACCTGCGTCTCCTCCTCCTCTGCCTCCCCCACCCCTTCCACGGGAGGAGGAGGAGCGGGGAAAACGGGAGAGCCCGACGATGGCGGGTGGAGGTGCATCTCCTCCCCCCCCCCTCCCCCCCCCTCCCTCGTCCTCGTCCCTCGCCCCTCGTGCCCCTCGTGCCCCTCTCCCCCCTCCTCCTCTCTCCTCCTCCTCCTCCTCCTCCTCCTCCTCCTCCTCCTCCTCCTCCTCCTCCTCCTCTCCTCCTTCCTCCTCCTCCTCCTCCTCCTCCTCCTCCTCCTCCTCCTCCTCCTCCTCCTCCTCCCCCCCTTCTCTTCGCCGCCCCTCTGCGCCTGCGCTGCGGGGCAGGCGCACGGCTCCTTTCTGGAGATCTCGGAGGCGGCCCCTCCGTGGCGACGCATGACCTCCGTGACCTTCGCCGGGAGCGGGGGGACGGGGGGCGGGCCGCCCGTTGCCGCGCGGCAGCAGGGGCTCGGAGGCGACGACGGGGGGGATCAGGGCGGAGGAGGAGGAGGAGGAGGAGGAGGAGGAGGAGGAGGAGGAGGAGGAGGGGCAGGCAGTACACGTATTCGCCCTGGAGCCTCGCCGAAGGCATGGACCATCGGCGCCTTTTTGATACATGTACTGCTCCCCCCTGGGCTATTCGCCCCCGTCGCCGCCCCCGAGGGGGGGGGGGGGAGGAGGCGGGGAGGGAGGAGTATCGGCAGCCGCGCGATGCGCGCATGAGCACTACACGGGGAGCGGCCGTACAGTAGGGGTCTTGAAGAAGGAACCCTTTTCGTTGGGGAGGGGCTCCGTGTTCCTCGATTGTTTCACAGCTTGCCGCCTTGGGGTTTCCCACGGTTTTCGATGGGGAATCGAAGGTTTAACTTATGAAAACAAGGGGCCTCGTTCCTTATTTTGGGTTCCTTAGGTCAACGCCCCGACTGTACACTCGTGCCGTTCTCTTCTAGACGCTTGCCAGCACGGCAGCAACCTCTGACCAATCTGAAACTTCTTTGCACACGTGCATGCGCAGCGTGTCCTGTGCAGCTCGCTCGACCTCGCCTGTCATTGGCCAGCAACGCCGGCGGTCCGAAGGCAGACCTCTCGCAACTTCAAGAGGAGGGAGGAGGACCAGAGTAAACCCAGGATGCACCAGCGATGCTGCAACATTCAGGAGGGGAAAAAACACAGACACAATGAATCGTCGACTCCCCAGAAAATATTGGAAAATATGGGAAGTGGGTTGGAAGACAAACACCTAGAAAATATCGAAAAATATGGGGAATCTTTTTATTTGTGTGTATTTATTTGTGTGTCCCGGGGCCCCTGCAAACACCGTCTCGTCACCAGGCGCGTCATCATAAGTCCCTGCATGTATTCCTGTTCAGTTCGGGAAGGCGGTGTGACCTCAACGTACCTCGTTGAGGAGATGAAGAGGCGAGGAGGACATGTGGATACTAGGGCTCTGTGACAACACGCTCGTTTCATAGAACGACGTGGTGCCATGCTGCGACGCGCACTTCACGCCGGAGAAGAACAGCTAGAGCGCGAAGGTATCACTGCGAACTCCGAACATGTGCTGGCGCATGCCATCTTTGCCAACAGCCTTACCCACGTAGGCGGCGTTACACCATGCAACGTGTTTTTCGGAAGGCAGCCCTCCATGCTGCCACCTCTCGAAGCAGACAGAGGGTGAGGTGCCCGATGCCTGTGGCACCGGTGCGGGCCCTTCTGCTGGTGGGGAAGTGCAGCCCAGCCGACTGCAGTGGCGAATCCGAGAGATTGCGCTGCAACGCAGTTTTGAGGCCACGTCGACCTCACGTGTCAGCCGCGCCTTCTGGACACGCACCGCAGAATTCTACGCTTCGCGTAATCCCACCAGCTCCGTAGCCTGGCTCAAGCCGTCTCGGCTCGAGCCCGCCCCTCGCTCAGGTGCGCACTCGGGCCTGGGCCATGTCCGCCCTCGGGGCCGCCCTCTCGGGGGCCGCGCTGCGCCGCCGCCAGCGGCTGGTGGCGGCGCGGCGGGACGCAGCGCCTGGACTCTGCGGCCCACTGCCGCCGCCGCCGCTGCCGCCGCCGCCGTCGGAGGCGGCCGGCTGGCTGGCGGTGGTTTCCGCCGCCGCCGCCGCCGCTGCCGCTGCCGCTGCTGGCTCCCCGCCGGCGGCGGCGGCGGCGGAGGGCGCGGTGGCCGGCGCCGCTGCGGCCGCCCCCGGTGCCGCTGGCGGCGCGGCCGCCGCCGCGGCTGCCGCCGCTGCCGTCGCCACACCTGCTGCCGCCGCCGCCGGGTCCCCTCCGATGGCGGCGGCGGCCGGCGGCGCCGTGGCCGGCGTGGCGGCCGCTGTCGCGGCGGACGCTGCTGTCGCCGCTGCTGGCTCCCCGCTGCCGGCGGCGGCGGCGGCGGCGGGCTCGGTGGCCCGCGCCGCCGCGGCCGCCCCCGCGGCCGCCCGCTGCGAGGCCGCTGGCGCGGCGGCGGCCGCCGAACAGCAGCAGCTACAGCAGCAACAGCAGCAGCAGCAGCAGCACCTGCAGCCGCTGCCGCAGCAGCGGCAACAGCCGCAGCTGCAGCAGCAGCCACAGCAGCAGGACAGCAGGACAGCAGCAGCAGCAGCAGCAGCAGCAGCAGCAACTGCAACTGCAACTGCAACAGCCGCAACAGCTACAGCAACAGCAGCAGCAGCAACATAACCCCCCAGCTGCAGCAACAGCACCCCGCAGCCGCAGCAGCAACAACACCCCCCTCACAACCACTGCCTCAGCAGCAGCTGAACCCACGAGAAGACTCAGAGGTACCCTCGCTCCCTCAGCAGCAGCAGCAGCAGGGCAGAGCAAAGGAGACACCCCCTATAGGAGCCAGCAGAACCCAAGAGAAAGCTCAGAGGTACCCTTGCTCCCTCAGCAGCAGCAGCAGGGCAGAGGGAAGGATAGGGAGGCCGCGGCGGAGGCTACGGAGGCCGCGGAGTATCGGGGGCCCGAAGCGGCGGAAGCCTCTGAAGGTGCGGAAGCGACACAAGCCTTCATCCGTGTCTCTGGATTAGAACCGGGTGGGCAGGGGGTGGCCCCCGAAAGTGCGGACGGCGGCCGCGTCAGTCAGCTAAACGAGGTCCCAGAACAGCAGGGGCTCGCCCACCACGCCGTGCCACCCCCGCCTCCCCTTCAAAACAATCCGACCGGCAGCAGTCCTCTGGGAGCGCCGCAGACCCAGCAGGGGGACCGCGGACCAACCGTTCAGGCGCAGGACAGCGAAGCCATTTATTGGCTCGTCGGGAGAAACCCCTTCGCGCCTATTCGCCCCGCTTCCCTTGCCAGTGAACCCATTCCAATGGGCGGTGAACCCCGGGCGCTCTCTCCTGACGTCCAGGACACGACTGACGAAGAATCTCGTGCTCTGGCGACGGAAACTGCGTCGCCGGACGTGCGCGCGCCTGGCACAGCCGGCGGCGCCTCCGAGACCGGCGAGAGTCCTCCGTTGACCGGAGGGGGCGCACCCGGGAGCGACGGCGGGCACAGGCCCGAAGGCCAACGCCAGCGGAAGGGGCCTCTTCCCGCGCACCACAGGGCAGCGTCCGCCCTGGCAGCCGGAGACGATCCGACCCCCGCCTGGCGGCCAACCACCATGCGGCCCGCCTCTCCCCGCAGAGCCCCGCCAGGCGTGCAGCCGGAACTGTCGCGGGCAGATCGCGAGCCCTCCGGCCAGGACAGCGAGGCCGGTACGTTGGAGACTTGCGGCCAGGATACACGGCAGCACCAATGGCCCGACCCGCGCCAGTGGCCAGAGCCCGCGGACCCCGACGCGGGACAGCAGCTGTACAAGACAGAAATCAACAACATCCAGTGGGACCTACCCGGGGAGACACCCGGCGAGGCGATAAGGCGGCTCCAAGTCACACTGTGAACAATGTTCACAGGCACCTGGCACGCCTTCGCCAAGCGGCAGTCCGTGCCTGGCAGCGAAGGCGCGCTCGACCCGCTTCGGCACGACCCGCAAACCTGCCACCTCTTCCTGGGATCCTTCCGCAGCCACAAGTGCGACGTATGGGTCGTCAGCAACGTGCTGGGCCTCGACGTCGACTGGGCTCGTCTGTGGCATCTGCGCCCGGGTCGAAGCGGCAGATCGAGCAGGGATCACCGCGCGGCAAAGGGCCACCCGGACACCGGGGCACCCAGGAAGGGCAAAAAACAGTGGCGGGCCGTCTCCCCACAGTAGCCGTTGCTGCCCCACCTCGTGGCATCGCACGCGCAGGGATCAGGTGCGACCCCCCTCGTGCACGTTTCGTCAACACGGCGTTCTCTGTCATCAATCGCAGCGCTGTGATCAGAGGCGGAGGCGCTATCCATCACAGATGGGGCTCTCGCAGGCACTCTTTCCAACAAGCCGTGTTCTGCGGCGGTCGGCTGCCCCCCCCCCCCCCCGTGTCAACGATAGGTCGGTGTATCACAGATGGGGCTCTCGCAGGCTCACGTCCCTTCAACGGTGTCATCTGCGGCGGTTAGCTGCACCCCCCGTGTCAACGGAAGGCCGATGTATCATGGATGGGGCTCTCGCTGACGCACTTTCCACCAAATCGTGTTACGCGGCGGTTTGCTGCGCCCCCCGTCGCACCGTCGTTCAGCTTCCCCGCCGCTCTCAGCGGCAAGTGCGCCCGCTGTCATCAATTGCAGCGCTGGGGGCAGAGGCGGGGGCGCCTTCCAACCGCGGATGGGGCTCTCGCAGACGCGCTTTCCATCAAATCGCGTCCTGCGGCGGTTAGCTGCGCCCCCCGCGTCAACGAAAGGTCGATGCATCATAGACGGGGCTCTCGCAGACACCCTTGCGGCGGACCGGATGGGAACGGAAGGGGCGGTTTGCAGCTCCAGCTATGTTGTGTAAGGCTGCTGCGCATGTACCCCCCATGTGGCGCGTCCGACGCTGGCGCGCTCCAGCTCGGGCTGCGTCGGCGTTGTCCTGCCGCCCCCCCATCTTTCCACGTGTCTTCTGCGGCGGTTAGCTGCGCCCCCCGCGCGTGTAGGCGCTCTCGGCGTGCAGCTGCTATCGAGTTACGTGTATCTTGCGGCGGTTAGCTGCGCCCCCCCCCCCCCTGTCCACGGCAAGGCGCGCTCTGAGGGCCGCAGGCCGGCCGCGGTGTGGGGCGGCGCCGAATGCGTGGTCTGGCGGTCCTCCTCTGCGCCTCCGGGGCTCGCCCGCGGCTGCTGCAGTGGTCAGAGCGGGTGGCCAGGAGAGCAGGCTGCTCGGGGGACCCCTTTCCACGGATCGTTATGTTGCGCAAGGCTGCTGCGCATGTACCTCCCATGTGGCGCGTCCGACGCTGGCGCGCTCCAGCATGGGCTGCGTCGGCGCTGTCCTGCACCCCCCATCTCTCTATGTGCCTTCTGCGGCGGTTAGCTGCGCCCCCCGCGCGCGTAGACGCTCTCGGCGTGCAGCTGCTTTCAAGTTGCGCGT